CCCTCTCTCTCTCTCTCTCTCTCTCTCTCTCTCTCTCTCTATCTATCTCTCTCTCTCTCTCTCTCTCTTTCTCCCCCTCTCTCTGTTTCCTCCATTCTCTCTCGGGTCTATTCCTCTCCGCCCGCCTCGTCTCTCGTTTCGGAGCAATCAATTATTTAAGGATTCACGATAGGACTTCACGGAAAATCAATTTCTCTGTCCCTCTCTCTCTTTCTCGTCCTAACATGCGTCCCACGCCCCAACTTCCTCACTCCGCCTGGCCCCCGCACTGCTTTTCAAGCGGTTTTCCCTCGACCGACCGCCCTTGTTTCCGACACCGAGACGAGAACCTTTCGAGAAGAAGTACGTAATCGTGCCAAAGTTCTGAAGAATACAACTTTTAATGTTTCTACTACAATCACACACAAAAAAATGCACATAACAAAAGAAAGAATAATTTCTCGCTGTCGAAATCGCGGTCAAATTACACTGCACTCGCCACATCACAAACCTTGTTACATTTGCCTGCTGCAACGCTTGCTAAAAGGAGCCCATTGTTCCCTCTACCAATCCCTGCCTGCAGCGCCTTTAACGAAACATTTACCCCTCGCTCTTTTCTCCTTAACCGGTTCCGCCCGGCGCGGCCCCGCCCCTAGAGAATGCAGCCCGACGCAGACGGATGGGGGTCGGCGGCGGCGGGGGAGAGGGGAGGGGGGCACACGGAGGAGAGGTGGTCTGCGAGCTAAGGGTGCGCCGCCCGGAGTCACCTCCTCCTCCTCTCACCCAGAGCGATGACGCTCTCAGAAAAATATATATTGTTTTCTTGAAAATTCGCCACATGAATGCCTGCTTGACTTACAATAGCGTCGTTACAGGTAATTAGTGGGTTAGTAATTTTATTTAGTAACCTTTTTGTAACTTTTACCGTCAGTGTTGCATAGCAGTGTTGCTTTTTCTCTTCCCGTCGCCCGTGAGCCAGCGCGGGCCCCCCGCGGCCCTAGCCATCGCTGGGGCACATGTAAAACATCAGCCGAAACAATTTCAACTTTTAACTTTCCTTTTTGACTATGTATAACCTGTATAACTGTACAACACGTATTATGGATAACTTTACCGGGAACCTACAAACCCTTTTTTTTCACGGCGGTGTGTGTGGATGAGCCACCGCGACCAAATTGGTCGGAGGCTGGGAGCTGCTGCCCTGGCCGGCCAGGCTCTCGCCGAGGACCAGGGCGGACCGGCGGCCGCCCGGAGTCTTGTAAACGGCGTTAAGAATTCACGAGTGTTGACACTGCTTGTGTTACGAGGCTGAGAGTGGGGAGGTAGGAGAGGGGGTATGGAGGGGGAGGGGGGTTTTAATCGTGTCGGCCACCTTGTCCGACGGCTCTTTTACCGGGGAGGCTCTGTGGGCGCAAGATCGAGCGTCACAGTCTTTTCCACGGCCCGCGCCAACCTCTCACTCTATAAACAGAGGCGTGTGTGCACTTGTAAGGAGTGTTCGAATGTCACGCACTTCTCTTTAGGGCTCTCACAGCAGTGGTGGCCTGCCTCACCACGAGCGAGTCAGATTATATTTCTCAATCTCAGCGAACCTGCGGTGCACGCGCGGTCGTATGATGGTCCCCACATTTTGAGCGGTTCCACGCCGGGCTGCTGAAGGCCGCTCGAGGCTGCTGGAGGCTGCTGCCAGAGGCCGGGCTGGGCGCCGCTCAGTGCCGCTCTGCGCCCGCATTCCAGGGGCGCGGTCGGCTGGAGATGTTTTATCGCTGAGAGGAGGCCCGGGCGGTCCGGCCTTTCACTCCCCATCTTCCTCCCAGCCACACAACAGCCCAGCTGTAACCTCCCTCCCTCCCCTTCTCTTCCTCCCCCATCTGCCTGACCCCCTCTGCAAGAGCCCTCCTCTCCTCCTGCTGAGACTGGACCACCTTGACCCACATTTACAATAGAGCAACACCAAAAAAATTAGTGAGAGAGAGAGAGATGGACTCGCAAACAGAATGGTACGATTTAACATAGCAAAGGATAGAGCTCTCTACTTTCCGTTTTCTTTTTGCTCGGTACGGTCTGAACGCTTCATGCCATCCCCACCCCACCCCACCCCCCTCTTCCAGTCAACCTCTCTCCCCCACCCAACCTCCCCCTTTTCTCTCCTGCCCTAAATGATCTCTACCCCCTCTCCTCACACAATGGACCTGGCGAAGCACGCGCGCGGACCGATAACCGAGTCTCTCCGTAATAATATCAAAGCTCTGTTGGGCAGGGGGGCAGAGCGGGGGAGGGACGGGGGTGATCGTGGCAATATTCTTTGTCGCTGACTTCCCCCTCCCCCTCCTGCCTACCCTTAATCACGCTGGGACCAGGACCATCGAGCAGCACTGCGTCGCCCCGTCCCACTCTCCTTATTTACAGTTTTCTTTTTTCCTTTTTTAAGAACAACGGAGGATGAGGTTCGCTCACCCCTCCATCCCCACCCTCGCACCATAAACCGCAAGTTGATGGGAGTTTGGTGCGTCTGTGCATCAACACTAGCGGTATCTTTGGGGGCGCTCACGACGCCTCCCGCGTCCGGCAGAGTCGTTGAAGACGGTCTGTTCCCCCCAGCGAGAGCGTTACCCCCGCCCCGCGTATCGGCTTATGGTCGTGCCGTTTGGACGACGGGCGGGGAAGGCCAGATTGTAGACCGCGATTTTGGTTCAGGGAGCGAACCTAAACCTGCCGCAACACCACTGCTACTACCCCTTCGCCACTGCGAGGCCCCCTTCCTCCTCACTCGGGCCAGGCAAGGTGGGTCGGTGGGGGAAAGAGAGAGAGACGGGGGAGGGAGGAGGGGGCAGGGGCAGACCTTTGCCGTTCCTCGCCTCACCTCGCTTCTCCGATAAACGACCAAAAATACGACCAAGTTGGCAGTCCTAGCCCAACGTGGCTGTGCCGCCTGACGGGGTGGGGGGCGACGCCCGGGTCGGGGCGGTGCGCTTGTCTGTCACCGAGCGACTCCCTGCGTCATTAAGGGTCGCGCACACACTGCTCTTGAGAGACGTGTCACCATTATCGACCGGAAGTGGGCGAAAAGTTTTCCGACAGCCGAATGTGTCGCGTTTTATGAAAAATAGACTGTCGGTGGGTATGAGGTGGAGGCAGGGGGCGGGCCGACTGGAAGTCGTGGGGCCAGGAAGGGTCGGCCGCAAAGAGGAAAGACGGGAGGGCGGAGTGAGAGAGAGGGAGAGAGTGGGGTGGGTTGAGGCGCCGCCGCCGATCGGACGTTCGTCTCTTCGATTAGTGATGCGGGGTCGATACGGCGGCCGCACGACACCCGCCGCCCGCCCGCACTCGCCAGGAGGCCGCCGAGGCCTCCGAGTCGGACGGAGCCACGCCGCCGTCGGGCCACGCCCGGCCACACCCCGCCACGCCCTACACAGCTGCTGAGCACGGCGCAAAGTCTGCTTATTGCATATTGGGTGGGTAGACTGAGGGGGAGGGGGAGGGGGTAATTGAATGTTAGAGGATACTTGGCCAGAAAGAATGCGGAGTCCCATGAACAATAATGGAGCACACGAGGGAGCACAGCACCCGACCACCCACCCACCCTTGCAAGAGGCGGAGGGAAAAAAAGGACTTCTACTCGCCTATTTTTAAGTGCCATAGTCATCGGATTAGTGTAACGATAAAAAATTCTTCGTTAGTTGAACTTATAAGCTTTCCTTTTTTTTTGCCCTTGCACCATGGTCGACATTCACACCGTTGCATTAAAAGGATCAGGAGCAGAGTTACCGATGCACTTCTAATTCGTATTGGATCCTCCGTGTTTTTTTCCAATGTCTGATTCTAAGTCAATGTATGTCCCTGTCTCCTACCGGGACTCTTTGAACGCACCACAACGATAATGTGAAAGACGTATCACGTTCTATCTGAACAGCCCCCTGTTTGCGGCCAGACAGGCCGTCAGCTTGCCGCCCAACGACGACACAGTAACAACAGCGCAATGAGAGAAGAGGCAGGAGCTCCACAAAACAAAGCGAGGCAAAGATCCACGACTCGCGTCAAAGAGGAGACCCGTTTCGCCTGGGGGGGTTTTCAGTGTTCAACATTCTCAACATTGTTGTACGTGCCGTGACATTTAAATGTCGTTCACAGAGGACTTCCGTTCTCGGATGACTCCGCACGCGAAATTATTACAGCGATAATTTACGGGGCGTGAATTATACAGTGGGTAAAGCCGGAAGTACGCGGTTGAAATTGCTGTTGATCGGGCACAGTGTACGCCCCGCGCTGCGAGAGCAGCAGCCCGCGAAATTTCTCATTAGGAATGAATGAAATGTTGTTACGTTACGCGAGGGTCTCCCTCAAAAAGGAAAAAAACATGACGCTCGTTTCGCTTCAGGAGCAGCTACCTCTTCAGCAAGCATGTAAAAACTTACGCTCAAATTAAAAACACTCTTATAAAGGAAATTAAACTGAAGCAAACAGTTCATTAGCACAACCCGACAAAAAGCGCGCGCCACCTGCAACACCTGCACTGAATTTGCGAATCTTTTTCTTTCTACGGTCTCACGCTAAAGGTTTACCGTATTTCATTGCTCATTCACTTCTCATGTACTGATATTTATGGGAAAAGATAGTAATATGCACTGTCGGTCATTGCATCATTTCAAGCTTTCACAGTACAATAATAAAACTTGTCCACATTTTAATTTTCAAGATTTAAGAAAGAAATAAGCTTTTATATGTATGGAGAAGAACAAGAGCTTTTGCTCATACCTCATAACAAAACTTTCCATATCATCCATTGACCGCAAAGCTCAACACTGGCGCCCAGGGGACATGCGTTTTTGGGGTCACACCTACAATCATTCGCCATTATCACAGTTGACAGACATTATGTTCACTATTTACAAATTTTCATTATTATCAAATATTTTTTCAAGGTTTAGTTTTTCATCGCTTCATACTACTACAAAAACAACTGCAATTTTAAAAGCAGTTTTAGGGGAGAAGTTTATAGCGCTTACGAAAGAAGTTTACATTTACTGATCAAGTAGGAGATATTCTGCCTTTGAAGTAGTAGTACGAAGTAGTAGTAGTAATAGTAACATTACAACGTTAATATGTAAGAAATACCGTAACTTGTTCAGTGATCTAAGACGTGACAGGAGTAAGTGATTTACCTTTGACTCTACGGCGTTGTGACACCACTAACAGCAGCTGCCTCCTCTCTCTCTGCTGCTGCCTAACTACAACAAAATGACTGCAGGGGTTTGTATCCTGGAGATGGTGCGGCGCGTGTGGGCCTCTCTCGACGGTGCCGGAAGTATACCGCCGGGGCAGAGTCGAGAGCGGGAGTAGTCCACGCGCGCGCGGCGGATCCGCGGCGGCTCCCGCAGGATGGGCAGGACTCGGGCAGGACTGCAGCACTCAACAGGCGGCCGCCAGGGCGCGCCAGGGTCGCCCGGGCGGCAGCGGTAATCCAAACGATATGCTCTCGGCGTGGACGAGACACTAGCGGAGGTGACAGTCGTTCACACGCGCGCGCGGAACGGTGTCCGCCGGTCAGGGGGCGGACCAGTTGCAGTCGTGAGCGGGCGGCCGACGCCCCGCCACGCGGCTGGTGGTCAAACAGTCACTCTCCTCCCCGGGGGCCGCCGGAGGGTGCGCGCACAGACTCTCTTAGTCGCGCACGAAGACGAACTCGTTGTAGTGGTTCCAGCGGTTCTCCTCCGGGTCGACGCCGGCCTTGAGGTCGGCGCTGCCGCCCGCAGTGCCGGAGCCGCAGGAGCCGGCGAGGCGGAAGCCCTGCTCCTGCAGCGAGTCGAAGGCCTGCTCCAGCGAGGAGTGCTTGAGGAAGAAGCGGGCCGTGTAGCGGTCCGTCATGCCGTGGTCCGGGTCCCGGCTCTCGTTGAGCGCCTCGCCGAACACGGCGCGGCACAGCGCCACGCGCCCGCACACCAGCAGCCGCGACAGCTTGCGGAACTTGACGTCGGCCAGGCCGTCGCGCCCGAAGGCGAAGCTGCCGCGGTAGCCCACCGTGATGAAGCCGGACGGGCGCGCGCGCTCCTGGGCGCCGATGGCCTCGAGCAGCCCGGACAGCCCCAGGTGCTGCGCCTCCTCGCGCAGCCGCTCGCGCTCGCGGAAGGAGTCGGGCAGCACGAGCGCGCCCGAGCGCAGGTAGTCGAGCACGTAGCGGAAGAGCACGCCGTCGCGGTCCAGGAAGTACTTGCCCTTGGGGTCCTTGGGCGGCGGCGGCTGCGCGCCCGAGAACAGCCGGCCGAGCAGCGACTCGGGCTCGCGCGTCAGCGTGGCGGCGGTCGTGGTGTAGAACACGCCGCCCACGTTCAGCTCCACCACCTGGGGGATGCCCTGCTCCGCCATGTCGGCGCGGGACGGGCGGGACCTGATGGGGCGGGACGGGAGGGCTCGCAGCTCGCACGGACCAGAGTGCCTGCGCGCCTCGCCTGCTCGCCTGCCACCGCTCAACTGGTCCTGCCCTGCTCCCGACTGCTCCCCCGCACCTGTGGCTGCAGCCCCCGCCCCCGGCCC